AAACTATAAGGATGTGGTGAAAGAAGTATTGATACAATATTCATTTTACAGGCATTTAGTAGTCATAATGTATTTGGGGTAAATCTTGGGAATTCTCCAACATTCACTGCTTTGGAATGATAGGAAGAGAAACTTCACTTGCAGTAAAAACACAGTTGATCATCTTTTATGGCTAAACAGCAATATACAGAATTAAGAAGTGAATGTCAGAGAAATTCCTGTATTTATACCAAAACTTCTGTGAAAGATCATTATCTGCTACAGACAACTGTCACGTGATCTACACACCATAGAAAACTTCTACTGGTCATCACAAAAATAAACACACATACACAAAAAACATTTAATGATGTAAAATAAGCTCGAAATCAAAAGTTACAAAATAACTAACATAAAGGACTGAAAACCAATGAGATTACTTACAAAAATTACCTTTAGTAATAACCACTTACAATACCTAAATAAAACATTTATCTAGGTTAATAATCATCATCATTATGAAATATTACATTTCATTCCTCTCCTGATTTCCAATTCATAAGCACACTGCTTATACATAACTTAATGCTGTGTTTAATGGAACTTTGATGTAGTTCAAGAACACAAATTTAATAAATATATGTTAGTCAGAAAATAAACTGACCTGTCCAAGGTTTTACTATGTTTTAATTTTTCAAGACATTCTAAGTCAATCCATAATTCTTTTTTTCTAACAGGAACATTTATAAATGGTAGAACAGTACTTTCCATTTCTTAGCAAGCACTTATTTTAGAATATCTTCTGAAATAATTTATTACTTGGTTAAAATCTAGCAAAAACAAGAGAGAATGTAACAATTATGTTTTCAGAGCAATAAGAGTAACTTATGGTCACTGACTTTTCTCAGATCAGAAGGATGAGTAAACTACCATAGTTTAGAGTAGACTATACCATAAGAAAGAAATTGAACAGATCTGTTCATGTGATAACGAAAGAAAACTACATAATATACAAATATCTCAAAACATATCATACAGATGTAACAGCTGTTAAGAGAATGTTTTTTTTATCTTCACGCTAATGCCAAGTGGTACAAATGATGTATAGTTAGACATTTGTTCCTGTCTATGAACACATAATCAAAATAGTTGTTTATACCAATAATGCAAGAATTACCAATGAAATAAATTATTTACAATGTACGTACAGCAGGATTTAGTTTCTAACTAATTTTTTCACCAACTTTAGCTGCATTTTATTTTGATAAGCATTTTTTTCTGGCAAAAAAAAAAAAACTTTATGTAACTCAATCCCTGTAATATTAATCTATTCAACAATAATTATACCAAAAAGTCATAATACTTTGTATTACAGTGTGTTAAATGCTATTAATTACCGAGTGAATACTTCAATTTGTGTACTAAAACTGTTGTAAAATAACCAGTGCCAGGGGTAACTGTAGCCTAAAAAAAAAGTGTTTCAGAAAATGTTTTTTTACCTCACCATATTTTACACATGCAATTTTCCATGTGTTTAATTTAAATCCCAAATTATATTTGTATAATTTATCCTGTTTTTCAACCCATTATAAGGTACATCATACACTACACAATCAAAACAATGAAAAATGGGTGGAGATATTAACAATTGTAGTAATTACATAAGTCGCTTAAATTAACAAAACATGGAATGCCAGCAATCAATAAAACCTTCCTTGTTGATAATTAGCAAGTATTTTAATGTGTCTCCAGAAAGAAAAAAAAGTTTACAAGATGGCAAATCACATTTAATATTTATGCACTTTTCAGTGTGTGCTGCAGCATTGTTCAGACTAAGGATTTGAAACTGATGTGAAGGTAAAGAAAATGTCTGTGAAGCTTGTGATATACACACATTGTTGTTCATTGTTTAACAATAACAGTGCATTAGACACTAACATCGAAGTACAGCAGGTGAAACAACAAATATTTGTGTGGGTAGCTTTTCTTAATGGAATGTTATCACTGATCATCTTACTAGAATAATGCTAGTGTATGGTGAAACCATTTAAAACATGAACGAGAAAGTTATATAAGCAAATGAAATATTCATATTTACATATTTGGTGCAAATTTTTGGTACTAATGCTAAGAATCCCCACACAGTACACATAATGAATAGAGGTTCAGAGGCAGTTTTTCACACATTATTGTTAAATCAAATCAAATCAAATCTAAACAAAATTCTAACACCAAAATTAAGTATTGGAAACATGAAGGAATCATTGAGATTTAAAACCACAAAAGTGAAACCTCGTAAAGACAGCATTGGAAATTTGAAGGAAGCACCACGATTTGTAACCCTAAAAGTGAAACCTTGTAAAGACAGTGTTGGGAATTTGAAGAAAGCATCGAGATTTGTAACCATAAAAGTGAAACTTTGTAAAGACAGTGTTAGAAACTTGAAGGAAACACCAAGATTTATAAGCACAAAAGTGAAACCTTGTAGACAATGTTGGAAATTTAAAGGAAGCACCAAGATGTGTAGCCACAAAAGTGTAACCTTGTAAAGACAGTGTTGGAACTTTGAAGGAAGCACCAAGATATGTAGCCACAAAAGTGAAACCTTGTAAAGACAGTGTTGGAAACTTGAAGGAAGAACCAAGATTTATAAACACAACAGTGAAACCTTGTAGACAATGTTGGAAATTTAAAGGAAGCACCAAGATATGTAGCCACAAAAGTGAAACCTTGTAAAGACAGTGTTGGAAACTTGAAGGAAGCACCAAGATTTATAAACACAACAGTGAAACCTTATAAAAACAGTGTTGGAAACTTGAAGGGAGCATTGAAATTTATAACCACAAAAGTGAAACATCATAAAGACAGTGTTGGAAATTTCAAAAAGCTCCAAGATTTATTATGGCTACTAAGTTGTTATTACTATGTATTAGACTCATAACTGTTGGCATAACCTTATACTAATTATCAAGTTACACAATGTCAAATAAATTAATCCAGCCACCCATTTATGTGCAAGTTATTAGGCTACTGAAACCAGGGGGAAAAAACAATAGATTAGTTTAAATGTTCTGTAGGCCTACTACAAACAAAAAATAACTTCTTAATGTATAAAAACACATACATACATATTAACTAGTTCATAAGTTACACATTTTTATATTTCAAACTACTTTTTTGTGGATTTGTTGCAACAAAGTATTAAGATAGATATCAATACATGTGTGTGTGTGTGCGCGCGCGCATGCGTATAAATATGCAATTGTATGTCTGTCACGTTTACAAGCAAATGTTTAGAAAAAAAAATTTTTCATAATTATAAGTAATCTATAAGATTTCAATAACATGTTGTCTTTACAAAATCTAGAGATCATTAACAGTTCAAATTTGCTCTAAAAAAATAGTGGATGAATTTTCTATCTTGCTGCATAGTCATGGACACATTGAAACTTTTATACAGTTTTCTATTTCATACATCTTGAGCAACAAGGAAGACACTGAATCTTAAAAATGACAAAATATTTTGATTAAATAATACCATAACATCTGTAACAACTTAAGTTAACTGTAAGGAGACTAAAAAACCTGAAACAGAAAATGTAATTTTTTTATATCTAATTACTAAACTAGTTTTGGTTAAGCCACTTTCTCTATTGAAAAAGACTTTTTGCTTTTATCACAACACTCACTATAAGGGAAAAGTAAATAAAAAATATTATTTCTGTCAAGCTTAATTATCAACAAAAATGATTTGTAGGTTATCAATCACATGGTTGAGACTAATCACAGTTAAACATCACAGTGTGCTAGGGTTAAAGATCATCCTGTTCCAGTTCAGCAAACTCTCGAAGAACTGACAGAGCATACTGAATACGGCAGACAATATCCGACTTGCACCCGTATTGAGAAATGTCGGCAATGGAAAATGTTGAAGTGTGACGAAACTCGTTGATGTACGTCAGCTTGCCGTGGTGTTTACCTCCACTAACGATAAGTTTAGTGTGATCCATAAAAAAATTCATCTGTTAACACAGATACAACCAAATCTTAGAAATATATACCTTTTTTCTGACAATATTGTTTATGAAATCTAATTCATGATATAATCTATCATGAACACAGCTTACATAAGATAATTTACAACAAAAAATGAAATCTGAAAAAACTAAGATAAAATTATGTAGCCTACAAAAATAAGCTAACCATTCTAAAAAGGATTCAAAGATTAATTGCAATTCAGTAGTTAATGTTTTGCAGTCAATGTCTGGTAGAGTTTCAACACTTTAAGAAATCAGCAGTCACTCTCTTGTAGAAGATCAGAACATTAACAAATCAGCAGTCACTCTCTTGTAGAAGATCAGAACATTAACAAATCAGCAGTCACTCTCTTGTAGAAGATCAGAACATTAACAAATCAGCAGTCACTCTCTTGTAGAAGATCAGAACATTAACAAGTCAGCAGTCACTCTCTTGTACAAGATCAGAACATTAACAAGTCAGCAGTCACTCTTGTAGAAGATCAGATTCTTAATAAAAAGTGTTAAAATAATTAAAAGTAAACTCTGTGCCTGAGCAATGACTTTACATCAAGTTTTAAAGGAATAACGGTAAAGTAAACATGACTTGCTACTGTCATACCTGAAGAGTGCCACAGTTCAACTGCATTACAATGGCCCTGGAAGTCCTTACCCAGCGTTTCATATAAGGAATGGTTTTCTTCTTTTTAGTTACCTCAAGCTGCTTTATATCTCCACCCTGAAGAAAAAAAAAACATTAAAAACTCTAATTACACAGAAATGTTGTCCAGTATGTATAATGATTTTCTGAGAGTGACAGTTAAGATCACCATAAAAATAATAAATATTAACTTATTATCCTTTAAACACTTGCATTATATACATCACTTAAGCAAAGCCTAATTCATGCAACCACAGGTAGATTTAAATGAACCCTTGTTTGTAAGCTTAATTATATCTAGCTACAAAGTAGGTTTGATGTAGACCGAAAACCAAAACTAATCACAACATGCATAATTTGCGAGCATTTAAAAGATAACAACAAGATTAGTTACTTTACTGAGAGTTTGAAATCACACAGAAATACAGTATATCTAATAGATTGTTCTTAAAATATTTCCAGTTATTTCATAACTTTACACTAGTGTGTCCAACATAAATTTCTCACCCTTTAACATACACCATTCAAAGATTTTATTTTGTTATTGCATTACTACACCTTATAAATTCTTAAGTATTCTAAGTCTGAAATTATCAATATACCATTTATTAAAGCTCAATAAACAATTGAAAACATTTACATTGAATCCATAAGGTTGAAATAAAGAAACATCTTGTTTGTTTAAGATTTTTAGTGCAAAACTACACAAAGGTTATGTATGCATAACCATCCTTAGATTTGAGCTGACAGACTAGAGGATAAGCAAACAGTTGACAGAAGTTATCATCAATTCTTTGACTACTCCTGTCTGACCAAACAGTTAAATTTGACCTTATAACACAGCCACTGGGCTACACAGCATGTCCTTGCATCAACAAACCATGAAACCCTGGATTTACATTCTGGGAATGCTAATCAGTAACCCCTCCCCCATCAGCACCAAAAAGAAAAAAACATGACATAAAACGAAGTTACAAACAACAAATACAGTTTACCTCAGTTAGATTCTCCTCCATATATTGACTAAAGTATCTCAACAAGGTGTATTTCTCCAGAAGGATGGATGGCACATTGGATGAACTGTACACTTTCAGCTTGTTACTTAGATCGTAGTACTCCACTCGCCTTATAGTAACCAAAAAGTCAGTTAGTTGATAACACATTCCAGAACCTTCTTTCTCTACCTTTTATCAGATTATTGTATTATTGTAAAATATATCCAAAAAGTCAGTTGTTAACACATTCCAGAACCTTCTTTCTCTACCTCTTATCAAGATTTCTATACTATTCTAAAATATAACCAAAAAGTCAGTCAGTTGTTAACACATTCCAAAACCTTCTTTCTCTACCTCTTAAAGATTTCTATACTATAACACTGACCCCTTATGAATAATTAACATATTACTTCAACCCTCAAATTATGGACTTATTTACGTACCATTTACTAACGACAGGGTCTACATATTACATCATATTGAGTAACTTTCCACTTTGCCTGTTATAGAACTCAAAGCCAACCAACAATACTGGGTAAAATCACTTGTTTTCTGCATAAAATACAGCATATAACTAACTTACTGCAATATTAACAGTATTAAGGTTTAAGTATTTTGTGTGACTCGTATAACTTTAGAAATCCTGTAGTCGACAAAGCAATGGATCCACGAGCAGGTTGTACTGGTAAATAAGCAGTTTAGAAAAATCCAGTTGGCTTTTTGGACTCTCATAAGTAATTTTATCTAATGAACAAAGAAACAACCAAGTTTCCTTGTTTCACTATTCCTCTTTTTTGTTTAGCTTTGATTAACTTGTAGAAACTTAACACATTAACTGTTACTCTGATTTTTTAAAGAAGAAAATATAAGTTCAAGAATATTTTTAATTTTAGCTACAGACTAAGTAATAAAGCTCAAAGGTACAGCAGATTTAATCAACGATGAAAAATAAAAAATTAGAGCAGTTATACCACCAAGTTTCTTTCATTCCACTATGTCAATACAGTTTATATATATATACATATATAGTAGTTTCATAAACCATGTTTCTTTCATTCCACTATGTCAATACAGTTTATATATATATACATATATAGTAGTTTCATAAACCATGTTTCTTTCATTCCACTATGTCAATACAGTTTATATATATACATATATAGTAGTTTCATAAACCATGTTTCTTTCATTCCACTATGTCAATATAGTTTTTATATATATATATATAGTAGTTTCATAAACCATGT